TAAATACAGATGAGGTACGACGACATGAAGAAATACTTAAATCAATGCATATGATTATATATATATATATATATATATATACATATATATATATATATATACATATATATATATGTAATATATATATATATATATATATATATGTAATATGTATATATATATATAATATCATAGATCGTGCTTCACGTTTTTTGGAACCACAGCTTCACCCGAGCGAAGACCCGGCGACCCACGATCCTCAAACCCTTTGCGCACTGGACCTGCCCACAGGTCCCAGCTTGTATAAGCCCCGGTCCTAAGCCCCTCAAGCTCGAACCCTAAACCCTAACCCCTAAACCCCTAAACCCTAAACCTCTCTACCTATAGTAATTTAAACCCTTGAAGCATCTCCCAAGCTTCTAAAACCCTAGAAGCCCTAGTCCCTCAACCCCGGTTTAGGGGGCGTTAGGGTTCTATAAGGCTTGCCCTACCTAAAGGATCATGGGACTTAGTAAGTAGGGTTATAACCAAGGTAAATCGGGGGACTTATAACTTTTCTTACTAAGTCCCATGATCCTCCAAGTACACCTAAACCCTAAATCCTAAACCCTAGTCCCATGATCCTCCAATTTCCTAGGCCCCTAAACCCTAAACCCCTGAAACATCGGGGTCTCCTCGCAAGACCTCGGCGAGCCGCAGACGTGGGCGGATGCCCCGGAAGGCCCAAGACTTCCGCCAGCCTCAGAGCTTCCGAGTCCTATGAGGGGCCTTGATTCTAAGTACGATAGGGTTTTACGGAGTTTCTAAGCAGTTCTATATATATATATATATATTCGGAGAAATAAGGAATTTGGGGAATGTAGGCCTCAAGGACTAGGAGATTGGTATGAGGATAGACTCTTTAGGAGTTGAGCCTGAGAGAGTCTGCCGGCTGTTAGGGACAACAGTGCTCTCTACAATAGCATGTAGCCACCGGATACCCCCCCGATGCTCCAAGCAGGGAAAGGCTTGCATGGAGGAGGGCCTTGCCTCGCCACCACGGGAACGGAGAGCTCGCAGAAGGTAATGATTGCGTCTGCATCCAGTGTCAGCGGGTCTTTTCCTGGGTTCGACTTTTGTCGAGGCAGCAAAACATCTCTCGCGATGACATGGAGCCAAGCAGCAGCACTGCCAGCTGTTGTGATAAAGCTGAGGGTTGTGGTGGTGGTGGTGGTGGTGGTGGTGGTGGTGGTGGTGGTGGTGGGGCTGGTGGTGCGCCAAAGCTCAGGATTCAATTCTACGTCCTGAACCCTATTTAATGTACAATGCAACCTACAGTACGATATGTAACATGTAGCAATAACTATACAATTAACTAAGAAGGAAACATATACATATATGAATCATAATGAATACATGTACATCTAACAAACGCTGCACTATTCTATAACAACAAACTAGACGCTTGGCCGAACCAAGCAGCCGAGGGCGCGGATCGCGGTGACAGCCTGCTCGAAGACGGCCTCCGCATCCTCGCGAGGGCGGAGTGAGTACATGGGAATGCCTAGGCCTAGGCAATGTGCACATGCACGGAATAGGCTTTCGAGGTAGCCTGTGCGTGTCTTGGGTGAGAAAGAATCTCTGAAAGCTGATATCATGGATGACTTGTAGTTACGCACTTAGCTGGTGTTTGAAGCAGGGTCTCAACCAGAGGCTGCAAGAACGGCCTCTCATCCAACAAGGTATTCGTCCAAGGCTCAGTTCAAGCTAAGGAAGCGAAAGAAGGTTTGGTTGTGCGGGGGATAATATGATCGTTGATAAGATTAAAGGCCGCGATCAAGAGGACAGCCAAAACACTATGTACTTGATGACTATTCTGCTGTACATCAATGGACATCGTGTCAAAATGTCAAGGCCGGTGGCTCACTAGAAGACCTGGAACAACCGTATAATCCGAGCAGCAACATTTTGTGATGGGATCGGGTGTGAGTCGGTTGGTGGGCAGCGAGACCTTTGCTGATGCCCGAACCTCTGCGGAAAAAAAAGTCGGCCGAAGAAGATGATACTCTGTAGATTGCCGGTGGCACCCCGCCTGAGACATGTCGATGGGGACGAATTTGGCGATGATCCCCTCGTCCACCAGAGACTTGGCCCAGCTGTCTGGATGCTCGATGATGACACTCTTGACCTTGGCTGGCATGGGAGCTGGTCAGATCTGCAAGTCGACGTCGGAAGTAGACACATCCGGTTTAGATGTTAAAGTCTCATGGACGTTGATGTCTCAAATCTCGGACACACGTGGCTCGTCAGTGCGACCGGTGCAGGTTCGGTCTATCGGCATGGAAGGGCAAGCACCAAACGAAGATGTTCTATGTCACACTATTGCAGATGCTGGAAAGACCCTCACTTATGCACTGCCAAGTACATGCACCTGTTCGATCAACGTGGCGGACGCTCTAGTTCTAATCCAAGCCGCACCCAACTGCATGGCCCGCTCGTAGATAAACCGTTTTCCAGGGTAACCTGCCTGCGGATTTGCAAGCTTGCTGCGACTTAGTGAGGCCCGTTAACTTCAGGATTATGGCTTTCGGGATGCTTTCGGGCTTTTGAGGCGTTGGACCAAGCAGACGGCACAGGCGGCCTCATTCAGTCACCAAGCCCAACAAACGAAAAGGGCTTGACCAAATTATGCTGTAACCAGTTTTCTTCGTGGTACGTGCCCGCATTAGGGTATGCATGCTTGATCGGGTCTGCCCCGAGCACGGCTATTCGACGAAATGTTCAAGTAGAGTAAGTACAGCTTGCAGATGATGCAGTCGAAGGTGTCGCAACACAGCCGCTTACGTCAAGTTTCGCAGTTCTTCCGGTACACAACCACCAGCAGCACATCTGGTTCAGCGTTCAATTTTCTGAATTCACGGGCTACGCAGCTCAATCGACGAACCCGATAGCCGCGCACAGAATCTTCATTTTGGGCCGCTGGATGTCGCCGCTTTGAGGCCGCAGGATCTCATCACCGAAAAACCGAACCGCCACCGACAGAAAGTCGAGAAGATGCTACGGAACAAACCGCGTCATAAAAATTCGAAAACTAGAACTTAACAGGGCGTTGGTGATATCGTTACAGGGTTTGCAAAAGGATCACGGGGGTCTCAATTCTGTCCGGGGCACGGTGAAAAACACGATGGTCGCTCCTTCCAGTAGCTTCCGTCGCAGGGCCTCCGGATTCAAGTTTACGGTTTGGGGCTACGGGAAGCAGCTTCAGTTCTCGAAATCACGTTGAGACTCTGAGAATACGCCCATACGTAAGGTTATACAAACCCTGAAACCTTCAACCCTGAAGTGCTGTGGCTGTGGTACGTCGAGCAGGCGGGTTCCGGAGCTCTGACACAGGCCCTAGCCATAGTGTATGTGCAATTGAACTCCAGCCTGCGCTTCTTCCCCAGAAGCTTCCACCAACTCCACGGGAATGTGGCCTCATGTCAGAGCGTTGGGGTGTTAGTTTCAGGGAGTCGAGGAGTGGTGGTGCGAGCTATGCAAAGAGTTAGACAGGCTTCATTAGATTACCTTAATG